CATAGATATTGCCACAGGCTTGTTTTAACCTACTTGGCCAGTAATCTCAGTGCTACTCACAAAACCTTCGTTACAGCTCCGGATTTAGTTTGCCAGCCATCACTCCAGAATTCCCCAGCAGGAGGGCACCTGAGGCTGGGGAGAAAAGACAGTCTGAAGACGGTATTACTGGGGACGGCTGACAGCTTAGGATGGATGGGGTAGTGACGTGTGGCGAAACCAGAATCAGATCTGAATGGTTCCAGCAATTGCAGCAGACTGTAACACAGAGCCTCTGCTTTCTCAACAAAGAGAAGAAAATGAGCAGGTCACTCAGATAATAGTTTACTAATGAAAAATCTGGAGAACAAATTAGTCAGTCTGACTCCTTAAAAACCATGTGAGGAAGATTTAATGGCAGGAAAGTTTAGTGCACTGCCAACTGACTTTGGAGGCCTTTGTTTATTTCTCGCATTCTAGATGATTGACTGTCCTAAAGTCCACTTATAGAAACGTTACTTAGGAGCGTTTAAAAATACGAAATTGATGTATTCTTCTGATAAAGAGACCGAGAATAATCAAATGGAATGCGACCACAAATAAATCCCAACAGTTGTAATTGTTACAAACTGTGTTAGAAATACGTTTGGGGTTTCTTCTGTAAACTCCACCTCCTATTTACAGCTCCACATACACTTATGTATGAGAAATAATTTAATCCAGGAAGACAGATTAATGCAGTGTCATGAGAGAAGACAAAATGTGACCCAAAGAAATAATAAGCATGGCAGGTGGTGGTGGCACACGCCTTTAGTCCCAGCATTTGGGAGGCAGAGGCGGGTGGATTTCAGTGAGTTTGCGGCCAGCCTGGTCTACAAAGTGAGTTCCAGGACAGCCAGGACTGTTATACAGAGAAACCCTGTCTTGAAAACCCAAAAAAGAAAGAAAAAGTATGCATGGGGTGGAGATGAGGAAAGTAGAAAGAGAGACGGAATGTAGCCAAGGAATTCGGGAGAGCCCCGGGGAGGATGATACTTGGGGAAATAGACTTGAAGTTGAAATTGGCAAGGATTCTTGGTGATCAGGGTCATTCTTTCAGGCAATCAATTTTGTTTGTAGCTTTGGCAGGAGAAAGTCATGGGTGTTTTGTGTGGACTGGGAAGGGGGTGCAATCCGGATCATAAGGAGAGGGAGGTAGGAAGTGGAACGTCCTGGCGATGAAGGGGAGGTAGCAAATTCTTACTCCTCATCAGTAGAGCTCAGCCTTGCATCCACTAAGACATCAGGAGCCGAAGGGCGAGTGAGGGAGTCTGCAACTTCCCCTTCTGGGGCTAAGAACTGGAGCATCAGGAGTTAGGATGGACCACTACTGAGGAGGCAGTCTTGCCTCCCGGTCTCCTGTGACTAAACTGCAGTTTCTCCACCCTTCACGCTCAGCTCCACGGCCAGAATCTCAAGCTCAGTACGTGGTGTGAGTGACAGCCTCCCATCAGAACAGAGGAGTTTGTGCCAGGCTAGGCGCTGGTCCCCAACTTGTGTCTCTGCTCTGACGTCTGCAAGGATGCTCCACCCAAGAGTGAGAAAGGGACATGTCTATTCCTGAAGGGATTTCAGAGGGATAGTGAGCCCAGCTGAGGCAAGTCTGCTGCTTCTCCCTAAACTCCATGTCTCTGTTGCACTGATAACCACCACACCCTGTGCCCGCCTGCCTAGCCTGGCTGCTCACACCCTGTGCCCGCCTGCCTAGCCTGGCTGCTCACACCCTGTGCCCGTCTGCCTAGCGTGGCTGCTCACAGAGCCCTTCCCTGCTCTCCTGCCCACAGTTCTGTCCCTTTCTTGGTGCACTGTTGTATTTAAAAGATAATAATGGCTCTGGAGATGTCATTTATCAGGAAAATTGCTTTCCAGTTTCATGCTCTGTATTTGAGTCAAAAGAAACCTGACCAGAATGTATCTGTCAACATTAATAACGTACACAATGCGCAAATACCTACTGCCCAGTATCTGCTTGATGGAGATTGTATTATTTTACGAATCTAAGAAGCCTTCACCAGAGCACAGTGAGAAATAGCCATAGTCCGCACTTCATGGGCAAGAAACCGTGTGTAGGCTCCTCCAGAGTCAGGTTCCAGTTCTTGGAGAGCTGGGATTTTATCCCCTGAGCAGGTGAGTGATGAGAGGCTCAAACTATGCATTAAACTTTAGAGTTCATCCAGGAAGCCAGACACGAAACTGAAAATTGATAACCTACCCTCCCAGTGGGTCGAATAACTTACGATCTGTCAGAGGGTGAGTGGAATGCTGTACTTGTGTAATATAACAGTGGTTATGTTCAGATGTTCCCTGCACTGAAAAATGGATTTATTAATACATACTTACAAGGAAGCGGAAAGGACTAATCTGTGATTCCATTACTGTGTTTAATTAACTAGTCAGCTGTTGAAGATCCATGATGCTCAGGTCTAGACGTGAGAAATAATCGATTTTCAGTTTTTGCTCTGTCCAAAGAAAAGAGAATGTGGATTTCAAACCTCAAGGAGCTCCTATTCAAAAAAATTGGATTGATATTTTATTTTGTCTTTTGTTACTGGGTGTATGGAAGGATACACTTGTACCCCCCTCCCCCCACACCGCCCTTTCCTTTGGCCCCACGCTTGTGAGACCCTCATGGCGGGCAGAAGCTGTGAACGGGAAAACGTGTGCCGTCATCTGTGTCACTGCAAGATGGCAGCGGCACGCCAAGATTGTGCAACTAGTGCTTTGTCACTCAAAGTTAGCAGTGCCGTAGATAGAGGAGCACACGACCCCAGAGGGTCCTCATAAGGTAGGGGCTAGAGAATGTAAGGGGTAGCACCAGCTCGTTTGCACGGTTGAGTCAGAGGGCTCCTCGCCTGTCTGATGTCACTAGCGGACCAGTGTGAACAGCACTGATGAAGAGACCGAGAAGGGAAGACTTATGGCGTCACATTCATACATGCAAAGTCAGCCCTGCAGTGCCAAACAGGACTGGTAGAAACAGCAAGCGATGGGAGAAATGAAGTTTGAACAAGGCAATCGGCATGGATTTTGCGTTGTGTCATACTAGTATTATGTAGACCCTGGGGAACCCATAGCCCTCTTGCAAAATGAGGAAATGGATGCAGTGTCCATTTGAAACACCAGCACTTCAGGTGGCATGTTCAGAAAAAAAATCCTGAGTGGTCCTGTGGTTTGACCGACAGGACCTCCTGCAAGAAGGAAACCACATAGACTGTGTGATTGTCAAAGGTTCACTTCTGTAAAGGGTGGGAAGATAATAACCTCCGTGTTGCTCCTGTAGACGGCCCGAGTCTGGGTCCCAGCACCCATGTAGGGCAGCTTGCAACCGGACACCCCATCTCAGGAGCATCCTGTGCCCTCATCTGGCCTAAGCAGACGCCTGCACTCACGTTCATAACCCCCAATATGCACGTATAAGTAAAAATAAAATAAAAACTTAGATCCCGTTTATTCATACATATGAAGGAAAATCTTAATTTCCAAAAATGTTACAAAAAATTGAAACTTCCTTGGTGAGTGCACAGGTTGAGCATCAGCTCTGAAGTCTAGGGGACATGGCGACACGCTTAGGATAAATCTCCTGATAGAAACAGGCTGATTTCCTATGATGTGATCAGGGAGGACTGGTTTTTCCCAGGAGAGTTGTTTACTATCGAATGCTTGTCATTCAGATTTGTCAGCAGCCTTGGAGAACCCTCAACATTAGCTAGTTACCAGAACAAAAATTGGGGGGAAAGTGAAAATATATACATATCTCCCACAACAATGGCGTTAATAAGATTTTTACTGAATCATTGCCATAATAATCATCTATGAATGCGTGCATTTTTAGGGATGGCAGAATAAAAATGTATGCACACACCATTGCATGTGGAGTTCTTGGTGTATAACAATGTTCAGCACTGAACTGTCATTGACTGCTGACATTATTTTTCACACTTTCATTCCATGCTTTAGAGTTGTAGGCTGAATATTTCTTTTAATCTGTTTAACATTTTACTATAAAACTCCAATAAACTGATCTGTACTAATCAGGCTTTAGATATTCTAAATGCCACCACAGTCATTATTGCTTCACAAAAGGTGCTTCTATGGCTTTCTCTGGTGTCTTAAATTCTGGACTATTTCTTGAAAGGAGTGAAAAGTACAAATTTGTTCTTGGGATTGGCCCTTGACATAAAATCTTACGTATAGTTCCTAGAAGCAAAACTACATTGACATTTAAGTAAATGTTGCTATAGAAATGTTGACTAGCTATTGGGACATTCCTCACACTGGTAGAGGGAACCTGATCATTGTTTTAATTTTCACAATATATTAGAGAAATACTGCTTCCTATAACAGGAAGTAACAAGAAAAAATTATGCCTTCATCTTAAATGATCAAACATTGTTTTTTTAAATGAAACAATGATTTCATTTAAGCCTAATAGTTTTGCCAACTTGCAGTGGTGAAAAGCATAGTCCAATATAAAACATACAAATCTTTTCTTCATAAAATTATCAAATGAGTTTGTAGGAAGGATAGAGAGGTTGTTTTTATCGCACTCTGTGGAGTTGTGCAATTGCATGAGCTTCAGAGGACTCATCCTCATTTCTGTGAGTGTATCTAACTCATTGCTTCAGTGGAAATAGCTAAGTCAAGGTCTTCATGGAGACACCCAGCTGTGTCTGAGAAGATGTCTAAATCCCAGAGTTTCTCTGGAGACCACTGACTCATCACTCCTATCAGGACCAGTTCAAGACACGTGTGCCACATCTACAGCATTGTTTCTGGTTGTGTGAAGGCCACCAAGTCGTGTCTCTGTATGTGAGCTGGGACATTCCTAGTGTTCTGTGGGACTGTTTCCTGCACATCCATTGATGGCTTCCATCACCCCAGCTCTGGTAAGACATAAATGGGGTTAAGGGAAGCTGCATATGGCTGGAGGAGGGTGCCCAAAACTCTAGCCAGAAGTTGCCCTTGTTGCCAAGACTCCAGCAGCCGCCTGGCCTCTTTCTGTTTATTCTTGTTATAACTGGATAGACACTATCTCCGTGCAGAGTTCTTGTGAAAACAAGTGCTTCCACGGTAGTTATTTTTTAGTGTTGGACAAGTCCAAAATGACCTTGACAACAGTCCTAAGACCATTATGGTGCGAGATGCTGCTGTGGGACTCCAATGGAGAAGATGACGACCTCCTAAGACAATAGATGTTAGTCATCCAAGAGAGATGAAATCAGCAGCCAGGATGGGACAGGGCACACTCTGCTGTGGGTGGTATGGGACAGGGCACACTGTGCTGTGGGTGGTATGGGACAGGGGGCACTGTTATGTGGATGGATGGGATGGGACAGGGGCACTGTGATGTGAGTGGTATGGGACAGAAACTGTGATGCAGGTGGTCATTGGCAATGCGAAGCTTCCCATGGAAAGGTCCAGGTGGGTAAGGTCTCTCAGAACTGGAAGGGAAGGACTTTGGCCGGTGGCATGTAGAGAAAGGGATCTCCAGTGTGTGTTGAGTAGTGAATACAGCCCCATTTCCTTTTCTACTCCGGATGGCTCTTCTGAACTGGTCATCTACCTTCTCATTGGCTCCAATCCACTGAGTTTTACTTTCCAAGACACGCCTGTGAGGAGGAAAAAATTCTGTCATGAAAGAGGATCAGACAAAGGATTCGTTGGTTTGTTAACTTGTAGCATGAAGTGTTGGTGCGGGCTCCTCCTTAATGATGAGTTCCTCTCAGCTCATGCTTTCTTAATATGGGAAAGAAAAGCTGGTTTTGCCTTGCAGGTTTGTTTCGATGATAACAAGATGTATTCAAAATACAAAAACCAGTGTGAGAATTCACTGGGTGTCCCGCTACAGCTGCATATGATGGGGAGGGTGGTGGTGGTGTTGACGGAGATAGTGTTGGCATGATGGTGGTGATGCTGCTGATACGACAGGGTGATGGTGGTGATGATGACTGTGCCGACAGTGGTGGTGACAATGATTACGATGGTTTTGGTGACAATGGCAGGCATGGTGAGATGGAAGAGAGTAGCGATGATGCAGATGTGACTCTGTGGCGGTGATGATGAAGGTAATGGTGTTAGGGATGATGGTAATTATGATAGTGACGCTGGAGATGCTAACCGTAATGTTGACGACGATGATAATGGTGATGATGACGATGACAATGCTAGCGATGGTGGGGATTGTGGTGTTGATGATCATGGTAGGCACACTAATACAGTGGAGATGATGTTGGGTGTAGCAGGCTTTCTTTTAGGCCAACCACCAGCTCCCGAATCATGACCCGGAGACATAGTTTTGAGTGCTTGACTTTAGCTTAGCTCTCATTTTTGTCTGTTTCTCATTATCTACACTTTGCCTCAGGGGCTTTTTAATCTTTCTTTATTTCTGTATATATTCCTTTTCTGCTGTCTCCATGTATGACTGGCTGCAGCTGCCTGGCCCCTGCCCCAGGCATGTCCCAATCTTTCCCCTTCATTCTCATTGTTCCTCTCTGTCATTCTCTGAACCTAGATATCTCCTCCTATTTATTCTCTCTGCTTGCCAGCCCGGCTCTCTCTCCTCCTAGTTATTACCCATTCAGGTTTTTACTAGACCATTCCCGTGCCTTATGCAGAGGTGAAACAAATGCAGCACATCTTTATATAATTAAACAGATGCAGTGCATCTCTACATTGTTAACAAAAGCAGCAGAAATAAATGTAACAAGCCTTCACCTAGTTAAGGCAATGTTCTGCAGCGTAAACAAATGTAACATATCTTTTTTTTGTTTTGTTTTTTATTTTCATTTTTTAAATTTATTTTTAAGTTTAAATTTAGATTAGAAACAAGGTTGCTTCACAAGTCCGTTCCAGGTCCCTCTCCCTTTCCCTTCCCTCCTCCTGTGCCCTCCCCCAGCCCCCCCCCCCGTTATCCCCTCATTTCCCCAGGGAGGGTGAGGCCCTCCATGGGGGTGTCCATAGTCTGTCATTTCATCCAGGGCAGGGCCTAGACCCTCCCCAAGAGTTCAGGGTGAGAGTGCATCTCACATTGTTGGATGCGAGTCCAAAGTCCGTGTGTATACTCGGGATGGGTTTTGGGGTATAGTTTGGGAGACAAACACGGCCAAATGCATGGCTCTGTAGATCCCAAGAGATGTTGCTGTGCTCACGTGTCTATCAGTCTATGGCTCTGAGTAAGAGAATAAACAAAGAGACACTTTAGTACCTCAGTTAGCCTTGCAATCATCCAATATATAGGAAACTTTTATTCTGTCCAGAAATCTGACCTGAGCTTGTATGGATTCATCCCATGTGGTTTTGATAATTTATAGTTGTAACACTATATAATGCGTGTGCATACATTATACAGTTACATTTCATGTAACATGGTCTCAGTTGTATTTTACCCTGCCATAAAAGTCATAATTTGTAGGTAAACCTATGTTTTAGGATATCATAAAGGTTCATTGAATATTGTGGAGCATTTCTGGTACCAAAATTCCTGTTTTCCACATCCCTCAAATGTAGTTTGTTCATTGATTTATTGTCTTTGTCCCTCCTTTAAAGCCCTACATTCTGAGAACCCTGTTTATTTTGCCCACAGCTGGATCCCAGTTTAGTGGTCAAAAAACACTTGATCAGTAAGCTAACATACATATAAAGTAAGGTTACTCTTGTGGCTTACTATACCCCAAAACCCATTTCAGCAGAATCAAGTTAATTTATACTTACGCTAGAAGACATTTGAAAGAGATTAATTAAAGGCTAAAGACTTCCCTAAATTTGATTAAGAACAGACAGAAAGTAGCGTAACTGTGAATGGCTCTTGATTGAACAGTGCTGCAGATGCTCTGGTCTCTTGGTGGGCGAGCACTTTGCACTTGAGTCTTGCATGCTGTCCCCTCAGTTGAGCAGCAGTCTACTTCCGGTCTCCACCGTGTGGATGGGGCCAGCTGACCAGCCGTCCTCCACACTGCTTTGGGGCTGGGTGACCAAGTGGCTAGAAGAAGTGGAGCGTGTGAAGAACCAGTGGGTCCCAAAGACAGTTTAGCTACTGATGACAATACCCCTCGCCCATCTGCTGCTCGGCACAGCTACTCTTTCCAAGGCGTCAGGCTTTTGGCAGCTGTGCGCTGGCTCTCTCGGAAAGAACTCAATCTTTTCATTGCCTGGTACTCGGAGCCACCTTGCCACTGTTAGCTTTTTGTTCAAAAGCCACTTGTGGGTAAGACACGGAGCATGCATGCTGGCGAATGCCATCAAATTACTTCTAAGTGATACAGACTCCACTTCGCCCTGACTCTGGACTCTTTTGTTCTTTAGGGAAGCAGTAAGAATAGTTTTTTCCTCTCACCTGCTGAAGTACAAACAAGATCAGAAATAGAAGGGCGGGCAGCAGATGTGGATGCTGTCATTTGCATCCTGCCATAACTTTTAAGGACAAGGACACCAAACAGGACAAAGCGAGTCAGTTACAGCGATTTGAGATTCACCCATGAGATGATGCCTGTGCATTTGACTTAAATTGAGCCGAAAGAGGGAAATAATAGCCACCATTTGTCTTTGTTATTATTGTGCTTACCAGAAGTGATCTCCCCATGACCGAATTCGATCTTCTATTTAGAAAATATTGAGTGTCTGCTGATACTCGAAAGTGAATTAACCAGTGCATTTTGGAGAAACCTGTCCTGTTACTTTCTTTTCCCTTTTTGTTAGCTGCGTTGCTTTGCCACCTGAGAGTTCATATCAGAGAAATTCCGCATCCACGAGGCCAGTGTTTGGTTGGAAGTGGCTGTAGGACATTGTGTGTTCTGACAAACGTCACAGTCAGGACACCTGCAGTTTGAAGCAGGTGGTGCTGTGTCCTCTGCATCTTTACGTCTTTCAGAACTCACATTCACAACACCGAATGGCACTCTCTTCCTTCCATCCATACCCCTGCTTTACTTTGTCCTCATCCCCAGCTCCTCCATGGTTTTTTTTCTCAAGAACCCCACCCTTTGTACCAGTTTTTGTGTTCTTAGCACATAGCTACCTTGAGCTATTCCATCTACTCCCTGGTTTCTCTGTTGCAACCATGCCCACTAATGTTCTAATCCACACCTTTCACCCCGGGCTTCTAATCAGGCACATCTGTCCACCAGCTGTCTGGTGAGCTCCTGTTCCCTGAGCCTGATGTGGAGCTCACTGTCTGCCCCTCTGCGTCCTTTCCCTGTGTGTACAGAGCAGCCTCCCCGAGCTCTCTGACATCTTCTCATCTCCAATTGTCTTCTCTGAGGTCTATCTCACTGACTGTGTTAGCTCCTTCATCTCTGTGATGAGCCACTGGGCTTATTTGGGGCTATGACTTCAAAGGTTTCAGTCCTTGGAAAGATGACGCCATTGCTTCTAGGAATGTGGCGTTGGCAAGTACATGATGTAGTTGAGGAAAACCACTCATCTCACTGCAACCAGGAAGCAAAGAGAGAGAAGGGGCTGGGAAAAAAATATACACCCAGCAAGGCATGCCCCTCCTCCATACACCCATCAAGGCATGCCCCTCCTCCATAGTATACTTTTGGTAAACCGGGTTCTACCTCCTAGATTTTCTACTACTTTCCAGTTCCTTATTTAGCCATGAAAATATCATGGATTAATCTACTCATGATGTCAGAACCCTCACCATCCAATCACTGTTCACTTGGACCCTTGTAAACTTGACACTAAATCTGTCACATTTAATCTATTACCCCTTACCCCCAACCTTGTTCCCATTGAGTCACACCCATCTCATAATACAAAATACGTTTTGCTTCAGTGGTTCAAGTGGTAAAAGTCTAAAGTCCATGTCTCTGTGAGACTCAAGGCACTGTTACCTGTGAATTCATATAAGGCTACAAAAGGAAAACCCAACACACAATAGGGGAGATAAACACTCTCACTCCAAATGGGAGGAATTGGGGCATGTTAAGGAAAGATTGGAACAAAGCAGACTGAAGCCCAGTAAGGCAAACAGCAGATACTACACCTTCATGTCTGGCATTTGGGACTCCTAGCAGAACAATCTGTATTCCAAAAGTATTGGGTAGCCTCACTCATCCAGTTCTGCTCCTGCAGCAACATAGCCACTCTCTTGGGCAGACTGCACCCCCTGGCTTGTAGTTTCCTCAGTGGACATCTCCTGGTCCTGGAATTGCCAACAACCAGAGGTTGATATGCAATGTTGGTTTTCATGCAGCAAACACTCAGGGCCTCGGTTCATGGAATCCAACCACGCCACACAATCCCTGGATCTTAGTATCTGTGGTACAAGGCTTGACGGTTTCATTAACTTTACATTTTTCATGCCTATGAGATCAGCACTGTGTCGACCATACTGCCGCTTTCTGCTGCCAGCTTGGGATGGAGTATGGCCCCCTTGGACCATGGTTCCAACAGCTTCACTGCTGACCCTGGGGAAATTCTTCCCTCTTCCCAGACAACTACTCTTCAGAAACTAGGAGGCCTGTTGGTGTCCCTGTTCTGGCCTCTCTCCTTTCAAATGAGTTCGTGTTTCACAGATTGGATCCTCTGACTGGTGGGCTCTTGCCTTTCCTATTGACTCAGCGAAGTAGCATGAGTCTTTATCCTCTCACATTCCTTTCTGCTATTTTAAATCTGCTCGCACAGCACCTCACTAAGTTTGACAGTTTTCTTACCTGTTGATTAGTGAGCACCTGTCATGCCCCAGACTCAATATCAACTTGAAATGTCCTCAACCAAAGAGGTTAGTACATTACTTTCTAATTCTACCTCAGGCAAGTTCTAAAGACATGGGCAGAATGGAACCTTATTCTTCACTGGAATGTAGCAGGAGTTACTTCTAGCCTGGGCCGTGATAGAGTCCTAGTTGTGTTCTGAAACCTTATGCACTAGACTTCTGAGGCGCTTCTCTCAGCATTCTGGTATTCCGGATTCCCACCAGAATGGCTCAGTGAGCTCTGCTTACAGCATTCCCTTAGAGCCCAGCTCAGGTCTGAATCTTCCATGTTACTTCTAAGCACCTCATGGTATGTTTAGCCCAGGACTTACTCAACTCACATTCTTGTTGGCCGTGACGAGACACGAGACACACCGACCAAAGGAACTTAAGGAAGAACGGCTCTATTGCGGCTTATAGTTTGAATGGGAATCCAAGACAGCAGGAGAAACATGTCAACAGCAGCATGAGACTGTAGGTCACACTCTCTCCTGTCAGGAGGTACAGAGTGCTCAATGCTGGGGTCACCTCGCTTCATCCTTTTATATTCATTCCACAGATGCCTTCAGTTAGCAGACGGTGGAACTTGCACCTCTGGCAGCCTGACTTAGGAGAAGGGAAACATCAGCGTTTTAACTCCCTTCTCCCTTTGTGTCACAATGCTAGTTAGAATACCAATACAATCATCACAAGGCCAGTGAGATTCTATGAGGAAGAACGAGGTGTTTTGTCACTAAAGTTTTCATGACAAGGACTCAAAGCCATTCATCTTAAACAGTCTTTGGTTTGAAAGCACAAGCTGACTGGGTATTCAGTAACCCATCACAATAGCGCTTCAAGTTAACTCCCATCCCTTCTTGTAGGGCCTTAAAGAAATGTTATGCCTGCATCTCACATAGGCTTTCCAACATCAGAAGCTACCATTAGATTTCCTTTTTTAGTGTTTGAGACAGGGTGTGAGTGTAAAAGGGCTCAGAGTTAGGGAGGCACAGAACTGCGGGTTCATATGATGTGATTTGCAGAACACTAGGATACAACCAGTAGAGCTTAGCTGGCATGTTACCCTGCTGCAGGGTTGCTATGGCAACATCAAACCAATGAATGGACCACCTCTCAGAGACAGGGCTGTGAGTAAGTGTGAAATTGATTCAGTTGTACACAGGAACACATTCAAGCCAATTTTGTGAGGATAAAATTTCTGGTAGGAAACTGCATTTTTAATGACTTAGATGTTATGAGTATGATATTAAATATTTCTTTTGGATATTCCAGTAATATGGTATTTAAAAACTAAGTGTGTTGTGCTAATTTTATGCTGCGTTATGTAATTTCTGTTTCGTACTTATTCCAGGTGACACTCATTTTGTTTTCATTCATTTAATCTTGGATATCTAATACGGAGTTCTACACTTGGGATTAATATTTCAGGCAGCTCTCTTGGCAGTTAAACTGCTCAAGTGTTTGGTGATTTCAGACTATCAGACTTACAGCAATGTTTGTTTCTTTTTTAAGAAATGTTAAGTGGAGGTTGTTCTGTGCCGACATTGTTTTAATGTAACATTTGTAAATTGCATTTTCCATTGAACAGTATCCAATTTTGTAGGTAGTACATGTCAGGAAAAGCAAGTATATTAATATTTCATAACTTAGGAACATTGTGGTTTGCCTTTATGGAACTGGTGTATTCACACAATATTGCTTTATGTCTAGATCTCATTTTGGGAACCATTCATCATACAGTGTGTCTAGGCACTAAACATGATGTCCTGTACATATTAAATGTGTCTCTTTAGGGTAAATTGCTTATTTGGGGACATCTGATGAAGTGATGGGATTTGCATCCTTTCCTTCCTCACTCATAACACACAGGCTTTGTCTATACTAGAAGATTCCTGAACACACTGAAGATCATGATCCCGTCTAAGGGATCATCTAAAGGACCGGCTAGGGTTCTATCTATAGTTCTTCATAAGGGCCCATCTAAGGGTCTGTCTAAGTGTCTATAAGGATCTATTTAAAGGTTGATCTGGGGTGTGCTAGTCATCAACCCCACCCTCTGATATCTGGCTTAGCTCATTTTAACAGAATGGACTTATCAAGGGCAGTCAGCTTGAAATGAAAGCGCGTCTCATCTCTGGGGACACCCCTCCCCCAATATCAAGGGCTGTCGACTTTCCCATTAGTTCAACTTGTAGAACAGAGGAGCATGACTTGTTTGCATAACAGAAACCAATATTTGCTCTTTTATTCTCCTGGCATAGACTGCCATGGTAGTGCTTGCCAGACCCTGGCAGAACCCCTGCTCACAAGGCAGTTTCTCTTTGCTGACTAAACGAAATGCTCTCAGCGAAAAGTATGCCTGACTGTGCTTGTGGCTTCCCGAGAGTTACATGCAAAGCCTTTCATTGTTCCAAGGAAACAGGGCTTACGCTTTCAACTAAATCCAAGGCAGGATACTAAAAAATATACTCCTTTTGTTGCAGGACTATGCTTAGCTATGCTTGTGGCTTCCTGAGAGTCATGCAAAGCCTTTCATGGTTCCAAAGAAACGGGACTTACGCTGTTAACTTAAACCCAAGGCAGAATACTTGAAAATACACTCCTTTTGTTTCACGTCTAAAACTTTGGTGATGTGATGGTGTTTATTTGAATAAATTATCATATTCAAATGATGTCATGAATTAAATTCGATCTTAAACTTAGTCATATACTGGTGTGTCTGTGTCAAGAACTATTGCCTATTTTTTTAATTTATAGACCCATTTGAACTGGAATAAGTGAACCATTATAGCAAACACTTCGGATCACTTCTTTCACTCCAGTTTCCTATTGTGAAAGCAATAAGTGTATTCAAAACAGAATCTCAGAGAAGGGGCATCTCTAAGCACACTGTCACTTCATCTAGGTTCATGAGTTATCTGAGCTTGGTCACTGGATTAACTGAACCTGATTTTTCTGTCCTGAATGGACTTTTACACATGGTATCTGTCTGGGCTAGCTTGGACTAACTTGGGTTGCTGTAACAAGGAACCACTGCCTGAATGGTTACTAAGAAATGGGATTTGCTATCCATTTCTGGGGAGGCTGGAGGTCTGTGGTCAGAGTCGAGCTCTGCAGACAGAGGAGCCACCTTCTCTGTTAGCTGGCAAGCAGTAGGAGGCAGAGAAGCTCCCTGGGCCTCCTTTGACCCAGTGCTATATTATCTGTGTACTCTCCCCCTAAAGCCTCTGCCTCCAAATCCTAGCACACTGAGGATCAAGATTCGAACACATGGGAGAGTCTATTCAGTGTATTACAGAATTCTGTCAGGGCAGAAGAAAGTTGGGAAACGCTGAGAGAACGATGATTCACCTTAAAGCCACTGGCACGTTCACTCCATGGTTCAGTGGAGACTTAAAGGGATCTCTAAGTCGCATTCCTTCTACAAATTTCGCTATCACGTAGATTGCTTACAATATATGCATTCAAAACTGCTTCATGGACCCTTGAACTATTTCAGCATATATGGACATGAGTATGAATATGTCTATGAGCTACTAATCATCTGTAAACTTTTACTGCAGGCCTTTGCTAAGTGCAGGCATTGATACTGTGTGCCTAGGATGCTTGCGCCCGTGGTTTCCTGTGACCTCTTTGGCCTCTTTTCATTTGCATGTGCAAGCCAGGGTACTGCACAGTTTACATGATCAGTTGAAAGTGATGTGAGTTGTGTATTTTTGAAACTATGTGTTTATATTTTGTATTTAAAAAACTCATTTTCCATAGACAGCTTAAAAGTCATGGAATTTGTTTTTGTTGGAAGATAAAATATGGTTTCGTGTTCATGTCTGTGACACAGCTAATCCAGAAATTTTATTTAGAAGATAATTCTGCCTATGATAAAAATAATAACCACCCTAGCACAATAAAAGCAGACAGACGAATATCCTTGTCACTTTCTGAATACTGAGTATGTTTTGGGGCCATGCAGTATTCTTTACTCTCATTATTAGTTAAGGTTTAAGAGCACCCTCTAGAGTGACGCTATCATGCCCATTCTATTCTATCTGTTTACTTTTTAGTTATTTGTGTGTGTGAGTGAGTGGGCGTGCATACTCAAGCCATGGTGCATTTGTGGAGTTAGGAGATGATGTGCGGGAGTCAGTGTTCTTCTCCCACTGGGTGGGTCCTTGTTTCAGTTGCTTTTACATGCAGAGCCATCCTGTTTCCCTACACTTCCTATAGGCACGAGGACCTTGGATGTTAGGCTTGCATGAATCTTAACACCAGGAAATGACCATTCTGGGATCAAGGCTCTCTCTGGATTGGAAGCTCCTGATGAGAGATGAGATAACTGTTTACAGAGTGATGTGTGTGTGTGTATGTATGTATATAAGCATGTGGCATTGACATACATGCATAGGGAAACCATTCTAAATTAAATCAGCTGCTGTGTCCACAGGCACTTACCAAAGGTTGGTATTAAGGAAAAAATGCTAAGGAGGTCTGAGGTGATAGTGTGATGATCTGTGATTTTTTTATTATTATGTTTGAGGTAAATCAAGTGCAAATTATATTGGTGTCAACCACTTAGATGGGAAGCCTCCACAAGGTTCCCATGTTTTTCCTCACGGCACTGAAAGAATACTTTGATGACTGAAACTGTGTGAGCCTTAAGATCTGGGGATTGGTTCGCTGGTTGAGAAGGAGAGGGTGTAAGGAAGATGAAAGCCGGGGATCAGAGGCATGTGCAGGACTGAGGATTTGCCCCAGGACCAAGCAAAGACAGCATTGTCAAGGTTTGTAAGCAGCTAAGAATATCAAAACCAAAATAACGGATGCTAAAGCTGGGAAGGGCTATAGATTTCTGGGCCATGATATTGGTGACAATGCTAGAAATGTCTAAAGTAAGTGAAGGCTTGATGTAAGTGTTGGAGAGAATTACATTTTAATTTTATTTTGTTAGTAGTACACTGTTGTTTTGCATTCCATACAGCAATTAAGCAATTTCTGTCCCAGTTGCAACTCCACAGCTACCAGCAGTGGTTTGACCACAGGGGCTGAATCCAGGTGAGAATTCTGCTCCTTCAGGCACTGGCTCTATCACAGCCACTAAAGGAAACGTTGTCTAAATTTCTATCCTTCTATAGAATTCAGGATTCAAAGGTTGAGGTGAAATCCTCCTACCTCAGACGAGCTGAATAGCAAGCAGCTAACCTCTCCTTGCTCGCCCACCCCCAAAGGGGGCATCCTTCTTCTGAGCCCCACTAAAGAACCCTCTACCCTGAGTTCCTCCTGCTACTTCCTGTCAGCTAGTTACTGACTCAGCCTCCTGACCCCAAGCTAATTTTATTTAATCAAACAAATTAACATGTCTTTGCATTGTTACCAAAAAGCAGCGGTAACAAACGCTTGACACAGTTAAAACAATATTCTGAGGGACAGTACCCTAAAACATAGTTTAAAGACTTGCCACAAACTCAGGACATGGACACATGAGTTAAGTGGGTCTCTGCTAGTCAGCAACCCTGCACCTATGTATGCTGTGTTTATTGTGTAGACATGCACGTATGTGGACCTGCATGTATGTGGATCTATCTATACATGTTATCACCTGGGAGCCATGCCAAGGAATGGATCAAAACTTTTCATATGCT